AATATTAATAAAAAAAAAACAATAAAAAAAAAAAGTATAAAAATAATAACCCAACTTTGGTCATATTGTACTTTTTTTTTTATTAATCCCTTACGTAAAATAAAGGTTATTTATTATTCAAGTGCGTTAAAGTTCAAAGTTTGCTGAATATTCATACGACGCCGGGTCATATATGTATGTCGTTTCAAAGATTTCCTAAGCTTTCATTGTTGCATTCAAGAGTTCTGATTATGAAAACATAGATAATTTTCCCTGAGTACCCTCACATAGTTAATTAAATAGTATATTATTATAATTTGCATGTCTTATGCTTGGCTCATGATGCGGATTAACAATGTCAGCGCTAATAGCAAATAAAGCACAATGCCACAAGACACGATCTGAATGGCACACACACACACTCACACATACACACACTCACACAGACTCACATAATTCACACAAAAACTGTTGCCGCTCCCCCAAGTGCGAGTCTTTATTTTGCCTTAACGCCTTTAATTAATTAAACCGCACAGCTCCCGGAAGTACGGGCTATGCCCGAGCACCGCCCCCAGCTCAAGGCCTCAGCTAAATGCCGGCTGCGAGCTGCGAGCTGCTTTGGGGACAACTGTAACAGCATTTGTGTCGTCTTTAAGCAATTTTATTTGGCTCACCTTTGGCGCACAGGTGCGCGACGTAAAGACACAGCGCGCAATCAGTCAGTGCCCCAACCTCAACCTCAACCTCAGTCTGGCCCACAGATCCTTCCCCTCCCCCGCTCTCCAGAGCGCGCGCGTGCCACATTTATACTAATTTTGAAGAAGCGCGGCATACTCTTGCGGCAGTGGCTTGATTATATATTTATTTGATTTCTGGCTAGCTGTTTTACGATGCAACTCAGTCTTAGTCTTAGCCTTGGTCTTAGCCTTAGCCTTGGTTTTAGCCTTAGCTGTCGTCTGTCTTTGGCCTGCTTATTGCCTGTTTTATATGCGCCGTTTGTCTGCCCACAGCATTTACATAAAATCTAATCAAAAGACATGCACATTAACTGCCGGGGGGCTCATCAAAATTTCACCATGTTGTTGTTGCTGTTGTTGTTGGCTCTCGTATGTGTTGTGATGCCGATTGCACTTATCCCTCAGATCCAGTGTCTCTACATCTGGCTCCGCCTACTCCTAAAAGCGTATTTAATAATTCAGTAAATTGCCTGTCGCATCAACTTGCCAACTCTTTATGTTTTTCTTTCTTTTTTGTTCGCTTTATTCGATTTTGGTTTTTCAGTTTCTCGGTTTTCGTTCCCTTTGTTTTCTTTTCCTCTTTGCCGGGGTAAACAAAACACAAGAGTTTAAGCCGAAAAAAATGATGTATATATGTATATATGTGTAAATATTTATCGATGCCTAACGAAGTGTGTATACCCTATTATATGTATATATGTGCATATATATACATATATAGCTTTATTTGTAATACATTTTGTTTGAGTTTGCCTTTGCGGCATTGAGCAAGTCTCAGCGAAATTCCGTTTGTTAAATATTCAAAGCACCCACAACAAGTTAAGCAGCTAACAAGAAAATAATATTTAAATGTTTATCGAAGCGTTGCGTTCGTTTGTTTACCTTAAATATAAATTTATTGATTTGAGCACAAATAATAAACTGCTTATGCGCCAACTACAACATTTTCATGAACTATGTGGAATTTTATGAAAAGAATTTGTATTTCAATTGTTACTGTTTTTTATTATATTCATATTATATGTACAAATATTTCCATAAAGTTTTATTTCTTTATTATGGTAAATAGTTTAATTTATTTAAAATTGAATGAAAAGTTAAGTTATTATGAAATATTTTTGTTATATATTTTTTATGAAATATGTATATTCTTTTATTTTTTAATTATTTAAAATGAGTGAAAAAAGGTTAAAGATATGTACATAAAAAAAATGTCAGCCATTATTTATATTAATTAAATTATTTAGAACATTTAATCACACATAATAATAGACAAAAAATAAACATCATTAACTAATGTCATCATTAGCTTCAGCTATTTAGTGAATCAGAAAGCAAAGTTTCAGAATTCATTTTAAAACATTTTTTTATTTATATTTTTCTTCATTTAAAAATTAATTTACATAATCAGCTGTCATTTAAGTCGAACAAATTTGCAGCGCCTTTTCATTAACCTGGCAGAAAAAAAACAAAAACAGAGATAAAATAAAATGGGAAAAACGTGAAGTAAACATGCAATGCAACATAAAATTAATGCAGTTAAGCTGACGTCTGTGCTGATGTCAATGCCTGGGGAATAGTGGGCGAGTGGAGGAGGAAAGGGGGATACGGTCGGTGAGGGACAGACAGCAACTGCACTGTAATCAATTAAATATTGATATTTTTAATATTTAATCTTTTCAATTAAATTGCCAATGATTTACATGACAGGCCCGGCGTCCACTTTTTATGGCAAACGCAGAAAATGAAGAAGCATTTGCGCTCGCGCTGCGACAAGCAATCCCATTTGGTTAACCGTAAATGATGTTGTTGTATAAATCAATTAAATTGTTAATTTAAGAATAATTTAATATATACAAATTAAGTTTGCAAGTGCCGGCTGAACTTTATTGTCTTTTATCTCACACACACACACTTTCTCTATCTCTCTTTCTCTCGCTCTCTATCTCCAACGACTGCGATTGCAGTTGTAAAAATTCAGAACTTTAACTGAATTTTATGCTATTGATAACGGTGTCTGCATTTACGTATATCAAATGTCAAAAGTTCTCAAATGACATTTAAAAAAGATATAAATCATGCCAAATTTGGCTAGCCAGTCTCTTTACTAGTACAGTCACATGAAATCTAATATATGTATAATAGTAAGAATCTTAAAAAAAAAAAAAAAAAAATTAAAATTAAA